AAACTGCGGTTATTCCGTTTCTTTACACATAATTCTGTGGACGTTAAGAAATTAAAAAACTATTCAAATATCCACCCACTCAACATTTCCTTAAGCGCAAAGTGATGCTTCTCAATTTCTTTGACCGAATCATTAAATTCATGCTTATACCTACTACGAGCGGCAGCTTCCTCTTCTTCCAATGCGGTCATCTCAGCAATTCTTTCCTGGATCCAATTTACCAAGTTTGCATGCGATGACGTCGTTCTTTCCAACCAATTTTGCCACTCCTGCTCAAGTGTGGTACGTTGAAGAGGATCGGAATCTTTAACCTTCTTCTCGAGTTCACTTATTCGTCCACGCAAGTATCTATTTTCTCGATCTTTTTCTTTATTTTCTTGACTCTTTTGGTCTAGTTCATACTTCAACGCAGCGATCTCTTCATCCTTCTCGTTCAGTTGTTCATTTAAATTTCTATTTTCTTGACATTTGTTTTTTAATGCATAATCACACTCAGCGATCTGTTGATCCTTCTCGTCCAGTTGATCATTTAAATCAGCAATCATTTGACTTTTCTGGTCCAACGCATCCTTCAACGCTGCGATCTCTTGATTCTTCTGACCCAATTCATCCACTAAATCATCGATTTTCTGACTCTTCTGGCCCAATTCATCCTTCAACGCACTAATTACATAATCATTGACAACAGTGCACACTGTCAAAGTGTTTTTCACAAATTCACATATTTGTTCGTGAAATTCTTTCGCGGATTGTTCTCCCTTGGGCTTGAACTCATTCCACTTGGCTAGTGCGGAGTCGTACACTGGTTTGGCCTTATCCCAAGCAACACGATCATCTTCTTGTTCCCATTTATTCAACGCTTCCACGGCTGCATCCAAAGCATTGTAAAAGGCGTAGCCATTGGATTCTTCTTCTATACGATTCCAAAACGCTTCTAATTGCCTTTTGAGCTCAGCTGCAACGTTGTCATAACCTTCTGCCTTGAGCTGATAATACACCCACCGAACTTTGCCATCCAACTTGTACCATTTTATCCAATATGGACAGTAATCACTGTAAACAAACTCCATTGTGCGAACCAACTCTGCGCGATGCTGAGCTATTTGCGCTTCCTTGGAGTCAGCTCTGTGCTCGTGTTTCATCCAATCTTCATAGCACGAACTTATCGCACACAAAGCAGCATGTTTTTGTTCAACCTTTTCAGCAATAGCTATCTTTGCCTTCAACCACTCTGCCTTAGCGAGATAATGGTCTTTGGTGCCCCACTGTGATTTTTTTGCCAAAGCATCTTTCTCACACATTTCCTTCTTAGCAGCTGTCTCAGCCTGTACAGCGGCTTGGAAAATCTTGGCTGCAGCACCATATGTCTTTAGCAATTCTAAACCTTTAGAAGAGTGCGGATCTTGATTAGCTTCTTCCTGCAACTCAGCAACACTT